TATTACCCGCGTAATTTTGCTTTCCCTATTTGTAATGTCATATTTTTGTGTTATTTATTTTAAAATTAAATAATAACTTTGTGATGGAAGCGAAATTTTATTTTTGTCTTAGCTCCTACCTTAACTGTGTAATTAAAGTTTTAAAAAGGGTGTAAGTACATATGATGAAGTACTCCTGTTGTTGAAGAACGGAATTTTGCTGTTTTCCCATTCAGTCAATATGTTTTCATTCATTCATATTTGCAATAGTCAGATCTGCTTGTAACGCGGTTGTGGAGATCCTGTAAAGGCGGTAATTTATCCCTGTGAAAAATAGGGACAGGACAACATCTATGACTAATCATCGCTCAAATCCAGATGCTGTCAAATGAACCGGCAGTTGGAAGAATTGGCCGTTTAACGTGATTTATATTCTTGTGACATTTTTCAAAACTTTGTGAATTGCAGAAAGAAGTTGTAATAAGAATAAATTGAGAATAATCTTGCTAATCTGTGATGCTTTAGTATGAAGTACAGTCTGTCTGTAGTCGAGAATCAGGAAGGTGACCAGGTGGTTTAAAATAAATAAACAAATAAACTAAAATTGCGATGTTATAAACACCAGGCACTGTGGTTTCAAGAACAAAATCTAAGGTGTATGTTATTACCGGCATTACCGTAATGTTTAACGTAATGATGTCCGCTGGACGGAAGGCGAAGTCGTAATTTTGCGCATGTTTACTGCATCCATTGAGGAGATAGTCCGTAAGTGACTGTAGATTTGCGTCGATTGGATCTTTCAAATTTTATTTTGGCCACCGCGTCCGCGGTGTCTGTGGTTTGGATCCCGTAATATGATTCCCTAGTGTCCTAGCACATGGCCTTACCATTCACATTATGCCATTTTGTGAAGAACTTTAGACGAGATCAGACATCAATTGTCTTGCGTCCTTAATGACAACGATTCTGAAAGAACTTAAAGCTTTTGGGGAAGTTTTGCTCGAGGAGCTTTTCTGTTTTCGACGAAAAATATGACGTCTGCAGCAGCGTTCAGCGATCTCTGATACTGTTTGAATGACGTATGACATTTAGATGTGGTTGAACAGTTCATGGTTCAGGGTACCAGACACAGCAGATGATAAAAACTTTATCGTCATCGTGTTTCGCTACAGATGTCCTAGCATAATCAAGACTTGTCTTAGCTGATGATGCTATGGTCTATGTAGTGAAATGCGTTAGCAGTTATGGTTTTACCATCTCCTGTGCCCTGAACCACGAGTCGCTCAACTAATTATGCAATTACGGGTGCAGAATAAAGAACCTGAAATCATATTTATTGAGATGAAAGTTTAACGTTTCATACTCTTTTTGATGACGGTGAATCAAAGGCAGATCTCATTTTTTATCTGTCCTGCTTCATCTGTAGCGCACTGTCGACATTAGGATCCTGTAACTTTTGAGTATGCCAGTGTTGAAGTTTTTCGTGGTCTGCTTTCCTACGCAATGATGCCGTTTCATCCATTTGTCAAGTGTAGTGTGTATAGATCGCCTCCAGGGGGACACCGTTGCAGATTTTTACGGCTGCTAAGAAAATGCTATAAGCAGCAACTTATGCGGCAGCCAAATATGTTACAGTTGGGGGCAGGAGATGGATCGAATTATTTCGGCAACAGTAGTGATTTAGACAAAATCATGCCTTGTATGGTGTGCAAGTGCCGTTTATGACACGTTTGTAACGACTGAGGTTTGTTTGTGATAAATGCTAAAGAAACGTCTCTGTGAGCCAGTGTTTTGGGCTATGGCCAAAGAGTAATAACGTTGAATTTTGAGTGATTATGGGCAAAATAAAATAAATGAGGAGAGGGTTGCTTAGAGTACGGAGCTGAACCACTCCACTCCAGCGTTTGATTGCATTGGTTATAGAAGGAAAATTGCAGGAAAGTTTGTAACCGTTGGACTCTCGGTCTTCCGTAGATTTTCAGGTGGAGCAGTTTCTGGTGTCCTTCTTTTCATGAAGTGACTAGGTGAGGTGCTCATTTCCGTTTCTATGCCATCCGTCAGAAATGCGTTAGTTTAAAGGCAGAGTAGACAACAGCTACTATAGCGTGTAATCTGTTTCTTTCCCACGGATCCCGCAGAATGCTACTCATTTATTATCCTTGGAGAGAAAATACGGACTGACCCGACAGCGGTTCAAACCCGGGTCTTTTTTGTTATGAGGCTGACGCTCTATCAACTGAGTACCTTCGGTATGAAGCAACGTGTGACAAATTCATTGCCCAGAGGAATGCGTGGCAGAGTCAAGAATGCTCCCTGCGAATATCGAACTCGGCAAGCCCAAAGTTGGGGTTTGAAGCGGACCTCGTACACACTGTGCAACTACACAGCCAATGGATTCTCATAAATCCAGTTAAACCGTACTTCAGTATGTGACTTTTTGTTTTTATAAGTAGGTAAGGCTGTGCTTTGATGGTCAGAGAAGTCAAAGTAAATTAAATAGAAAACGATTTAGTTTAGATTTTGAAAAAGCTGCCTTTTGTTAGTGAATCTGTTTCACAACTAGTCGACGTCTTGACGTATGCTCAGGGATACAGTAGTTTTTGGTTGATGCCTGAACGAGGCTTGCTGTTGATCCTGTAGAGTGATGCGATTTAGTACCATGCAGCCATATCCTGATTTAATGACTCCAAAAGACCTGTAAAATCATGGTTTGTGATGTCAAGTCAGATAATCCGTATGTAATAGATTGGAATTTCACCAGGACCGATCGCTCCTTATTCATGTAGTTAGCATCGTTAATCGGATACGGTACTTGCAAATTTTTCATCTCTGAAACTCAGAGGCCCGGATTCTTTCTCGTTAACAACTTTATCTCTGTATGAATGGTTTATTATTACTTAACCCCTGCTTTAAACTGATACAAACTTTCCTCAAGCGCTCTTAGTTGAAGTCATGTGGTGCTTAGTTACGAGCTCGAGTTCTTTCTAACTGTTTTAGTTGAATCGAAGTTAACTAATGTACTTTGCTCTTTTTACTCGTTTTTATTGTTTTTAAAGATGCGGATGTGAACTAAGGTAGCGATGTCGTCGAGGTTCGGTCCGCGTGCGGTAGGGACCGACGGGAGTGACTTCACGCATCGGCAGAAGGTGGCACGTCACTACAAAGAAAGGTATTCATATTTGTGGTTAATTTTCCCTCAGTTATGTTTAAAAAAATACATGAAATAATGCTTTGAGGGAATCGATATGAGTTACCCCCATGGAGCGGAAAGAACTACGGTGCGTTCGGTAATTTGAGTTAGTTCTTTTCTTGCTTCTGTGTTCGATACTCTGATAAGAGTATTGATATCCGGGCTGTCAGACATGTTGAAAATTCTTATAACCTACAGGGTGCCGTCATGAAAACCGAGCAGTGCATCGAGCATAGCCGTTTGCAGGTCGGCAGTACCAAGAGTTCTGAAATAACTTGTAACGGAAAAGTTCCAGATGGAAACATTTGTTGTCAGCAGCCGAACAAAGAACGATTGCTGAGAATGTACTGATGCCAAGCACACGCATTTTCAAATACCTGGAGTTCACTTCCAAACAACCGTTGAAACTGCTGTGATCAGATGAATTCAGTGTTCATGCAATTTCTTTGGGTTTTTTCTATGGGTCATCACGTGGTTGAAATTCTTCGTATTACTTTTGAATGAGATTGATGGTCTTTTCGTTTTTTTCCGGCTTAGTGCCATCTATATTGGTTTTTATTATAAACCCAGTGGTTTTTATTACCAAAGAATTTTCGTACGCACGTCCAGTTGTTGTTGTTCTCACCGCTTTCTGGGCTATCAGAGTCAAGGACTAAGTACCCAGATCAGTGATGTCTGAATTATGTTTTATGTCTGCTGCTGAAATGCTTATTTTTCGAGTCAGTAAGACCGATCTGGAGCAGATCGTTGATCGAGCAATGTAATCCATTGTCTTGTAGCGCTGCGACTTGGTAGTTCGTGGACGAACGATATCCATCCTTACGTGTGAAGTTGAAGTGAGGAGTCTCTTTGCGTTCAGATACCGGAAGCAAAGCCAACGTCATTCCATCGAGCACCGAGGTTTATTTCAGGCAGATGCTACCATTTTGTCTAGGAGACTAACGAACCCGGAGGAGCAGAAATGTATAACTGTCCAATTGCTGTGTGCTGATAGTAAGCTTTTTCTCCACAGCGAATAAATTCACCATCTTCTAAGCTTTACATTGATCGTTATATTATATTTCATATACGTGCGGCATGGAATCACTGAAATGTCGATGTGTTCTCTTCCTATTGTAGCAGTGTTCTGGACTTCTCTTGATATCGCATAGTTCAAGATGTTCAATAAATTTTTTGTGACTACGCAGCATCCTATGGAGTTTGGTGATATGCAAGTTAAAGAAAAAGAATGCGAGTGAAGGATTTGAGTAACTGTCCTCAAGACAGGATGCATGCGTTTATTCTTAAGCCTATTCATTATTTATTAATGCTATACAGAGATATGTTTACCTTAACTTTTAGCACTCCCATATATGCAGAGTACAATATCAAGGCAATTATTACGTAGAGGCATGGACTTTGCGAGAGAAGGATCCATAAAGATACACATAATCTTCTGTACAGTTCAGTATATGTTTTGAAGTTGATGAAGATTTCTCGTGAAGTGGGTAAATGGTATGTTGCAATATTTGTTCAGTGAATGAGACTAAGCTGTCAATGAAACAGCCTGCACAATGGTCTTAGCCGTGATGCCGTATTGCTGTCCTTAAAATCTCACGATACTTCCTAATAGAAAAGTGCAGAATTACTTCCCCGCTCCGTTAAGGTTCCGAAATGGACTGGAAAAGTATTAGTGAATAATTGGCATATTATTGCGCCTTTAGACCGTCAGCGCAAATAAAAATGGGCTCAAAGCAAGCGTAAACGGCGACTGAGGAAGTTTCCTCATTTCATCTTGTTCATAACGCAAGGTATATAATCAGACAAAGCGCTAACCTATCGCTAATATCCACGCGAACGTTTATCACATTATTAACTAGGGTGACCGGCATCTGCATAAGAGTAGTTTCACGAGATCGTCGTTTCGCGTGATTTGCGAGAAAGGCACTCTCTACACATTATGAGCAAATCGGTGTGAGTTGAACCATTGTAGCAGTTTTTTCATGTCGCTGTTAGATTCATCAAGGTTTTAGCTATTTGCGACACAATTACAACGAAGGTTTATTCATCGCTCGTTTCAAACGCACTGAAATCGTTGGTTTGCAGGGTGAAAAGTGATGGGGAGGGTATTGAATGACCTTTCGACTTTATTTGGCAGCTGTAGAAGAAATGTACGGATTATTGAATCATGAATGATGGAAAATTGTCTGAATAAGTCCGCAGTATGACTGTTAGATTGATACACTGATAAATTGCAACACAGCAACGGTAGTTGTGGCCAAAAGGCAGCGGTAGTGATGAACAATACGAAGGCTGATCATGAGTTTTGTGCTTCGAAGAAAATGACACCAAAGTCTAATTTATCAGTATAAGTTCGTATTTTAATGATACATAAAATAATGAATAAAGAATATACGAGTTATCATCTCTGTCAGCTTTGCCGGTTGAAACCTTTTACGGTATGACAAGAGCGTCAACTTGTCAGGTACTGGCGAAGTAGGGCAACAGTTTTATATACTTTTCTGTTCAGTTTCTAATGACACTCGCCTTGCTTTTGATTCCTGAACGTGTTGAGATGCATTCATATGATTTATGTTTGTAATGAATAGCACATATATCATTCGACGTCAATTAGATTGACCTTCCATCCGCCGTCAGAGGTTTTCTCCATGTATATTACGGAGTTTGTAGAAAAGTTTCAGTGTGTGATATTTCGACTAACGACAATGCAGAAACGACGTGAATCGAGTACATTGCACGTATAATGCAGATGTTGATTGATATGAAGCCCTTGTCTTTTTAGTGTTCTGAACAAGTTTCGTCTGAAGTTCACCTTGGTGCTCCATGTACTGATTTTGTCGTTGATCATAGTGAAGATTTTTCTCGATGGGGTCAGTCAGAACTTCGGCATTTACGCCAAGGCGAAGATTCCTCACACCGAATTGTGGGAGTGCTGGTGGACGCTGAGCGTCGTATCGTTGGTACTCGCCTACTCGTCGTTCGCCCGCAACAACGAGTACCGCATGCGACTGTCCTACTACGGATTGGTAATTTTCGCGCTGATACCTCTGGCGTTTGGAGCCGGTTCGAAGCTGCCTGAACTGATCAGATACGTGAAAGGGGGCGATGCTCGTCTCTTCTGCGGATTCCCTCTTGTCGTGCTTTGGTACATCTTCTTCGCCGTTGCCTTTCAGGTGCACTGGTTCACCATGTACTTTGAGGCACAGTTGGTCAAGGCGTGGTTGCCCGTCAAAACCGTCAAACCGAAAGGAGATTGACAGACTGATCCGATTGGATCGACCAACTGACAAACGACGTCATACCGCCCTTATGCACCTCTAGCTTTTTGGTGTATTACTGGTAATGCGAAATTGTTATATGCTTGCTGTGGTTCTAGTAG